CTTCTAGAAAGGGCAAGGAGAAAGTCGGAGTATCATCCACTCCTTTTGAAAAGAAATATGTTCCTATAAGCCCTAAGTTCACAAGTGCCTCAAAATTTGTTGTTCCTGATGATGACGCTCGATTTTTTGATATTTTTGAAATGAAGGTGGGAATAGCATCTGGTGTGCCAGGTACAGGAGGATTGTTTAGAAGTACTGAGCATAATGTCTGTTATAAGTTGTTACTTGCTCGAGGGGTCATGAACCATAAGACTATGGATTTCAACTACCTAGAAAAGGCTGGTATTTCAGTAGAGCACTTGTTTGCAAAATGGGCATTCATGAATTTTGTTTGCAATCTGCAAATGTCTATGCTGAACTCACTGCATACTTTTACTCTAATCTTTCCATTTTGTCACCCAACTGGATTCAATTCACTGTTGGTGACAAAAAGTTTGATTTAAAAGCGAAGGAGTTGTCATTGATTATTGGAGCAAAACATTCCAATTTCTTTCCACTGGATGTGAGCATAGAAGATGCCTCCAAGGTGGCCTCTGAAAATCCAAACTTTGCTTAAGGATCCAAGCGCCATCTTTCCTACTCTGATTTGTCCAGACGGTCTGTGATCTTGCATAAGATCATAATCAACTGTTTGAAGCCCAAGGCAGCCTCAAAAACTGACCTATCAAAATCAGAAATCAAGCTCATTTGGGCTATCTTGAAAGGTCAATCCTTTTCTCTCCCTCATATCATTATCTTCCATATGTACAGAGCATTGCAGAAAGACAAGGGCCAATTGCCATATGGTGCTCTAATCTCTCGCATCTTCATGTTCTTAAAAATATCTATTCCTGATGATATGCGCAAGAACCTTGTTCCCTGTATGTATGTTGGAGAAAGAATGCTCTCCAAAATGAAGCAATTTGAAGATGTAAAGGAAAGAGTAAGAGGAAAAGAGGCTCAACAGTCGGAGGCAAAATATGTTGGAAAGAAAATTGAGAAAGAAAAAGGGCAAAGGAAAAGATCTAGTCCAGCCAGCAAGCAAACTGACTCTCCTATTCCAATCAAAGTGTATAGAAAGAAAAGAAAAATTCTTCTGCATGATGAAAGTGATGAAGCAGAAGCAGAGCACTTTGAAACAGGACACACTGAAGAACCAGAACATGTTCCTGAACCAGTTCCCAAAGTTTCAGAACCAATTCATGAAGAACATGTTTCTGAAGATCAAGCACCTGTTCAGGGGGAGAATCAATCAGAATCAGCCACAGGGTATGATCAGTCTGAGCAAGCAAATGTCCAAGCACAGCCTTTTGACAATCAGAACATTCTCTCTATTCTACTCGAGATCAAAGAAAAGCAAGCTGTACTAGAACAAGATATGAAGAATCTACAGAGAATTGTTGAGGAAAACAACAAAACTCAACGACTTCAAGCAGCAGCAGATAAAGCAGAACTTGGGGAAACCATTGCTATGTGCTCATCCAACATGGATAAGGCTATAGGACAATGCAGTTCGAAGATTGAATATGCTATCTCTATATTGGATAATTTTCAACTGATTCGTACCCCTTCCAAAAAATAGCCTGCTTTTTTAACATTTCTCTCAAAACCATCTTTTTTTCCATTAGTCTGTAATATTTCTAACAATTCTTGTTAGACTGTTTGATTGCTTAATATCAATGATTTATTCTCTCTATCATTATTATTTTTGCTGATGACAAAAGGGGGGAGAAATTATATGCAGATTTGCAGGTTATTTACAAAGGAAGAAAAAGACACATATATCAACAGAGTTTGCTCTTTTAATCTGTGCTTCATGAGCTTAATATGTTTATTTACTTTCAAATCAATTTCAAATCAATTCAATCTGCAGGAAAGTTTTGTCACCATCAAAAAGGGGGAGATTGTTGAGGAAAACTCCTATTGATTTTGAAGTTGACAAAACCTTCCATGTTATTGTAAATCTGATACTTATTCTGAACTAATTTATTCCAGGTATGTATATTATGGAAGCTCAGAATGAAGTTTTTCAGACTTTTCAAGCTGGTAAATACATTATTGAAGACCCACATAATCTAAGTTCTGAGACTCAGACGCTGAAATTATTCAGACGCTGAAATTATTCAAACACAGACGGAGGAATTTTCAGAAGTAGATGCAAAAGCTGAAATTTTTCAGAAGCAGACACAGAGGCAGAAATTCTTCAGATGCGGAACTCAGAACGAAAAACAACAGCTAGTGATCTGGTATGGATTTCACAGAAGGAAAGTTTTGATTGTTTTAATCTAAGACTATAATTGATTGACAATCAAATACTACGACAAGTATGCATTACAACGGATAAAGCTCTACTTATGGAAACCAAGATTTTGATTGTATGGGCGACCAGAATCAGCGGGATTCAGAATCTGTCATCCAACGGCTACTCAATCCTTTCTATACAAATCTGTCCAATGTGAAGATTGGAAGATGATCCTCTGAAAGCTGTCTAACGGCTAGTTTGGAAGTAGATGAGTATTTAAGGAGATCAACGAGCAGCAGAAGAGAGAACAGAATCAAGAATCATCAAGTTCAAAGTCTGAGCATACTCCGATCATTTCTCTTGTCTTTCTAAGCCAAACATTAAGATCTTGAGGAACACTTTGTAAGAGTGATTGTGTGAGATAGAGAGTCCTATCATACACAAGAGTGCTAACACTCAGAAGTTGTAATTCCTCTTGATTATATAGTGAAATCTAGCCGGTAGGCTGTCAGCGTGGGAGAGTGGACATAGGCTTGCCATAAGCCGAACCACTATAAACTTGTGTGCAGATTCTCTATCCATTATCTCTTACTTTACATTCTGCACATCAAGAACACCATCTATACAATCTGTCTTGAATCTAAATTTTATTCAAACTCTTCTGTGATTTGTTTTGTTTCCGCATAAATTATCAAAAATTATTTAAGATCACCTATTCACCCCCCTCTAGGTGATCCTTGCTAGCTACATCAAGCCTAACATGTATGGACAATAGAGGAAAAGATGAACTGGCAAGGGCAATACAAATCTTGCTCGTTTCAAGAGAATATCTAAGCACAACATTTAAAATGTCATGATAGGAACTGAGACCAAAAGAAAAATGAACATAGTTGTGGATCGTGATTAGAGCGCTAAGTCATTACAGGGGGAATTGAACTGATGGTTAGTGACCCTGGGGAAGATTAGGAGGTTCCAAGAGTCCTTTGCTTGAAGATGGACAACGGAATTAAGAATTCTAGTGAGCATTATATGAAGTCTCTTGCAATTTGTAGCCGCGTATCATATATATCGTTATTACATTTTAAACCCGCAATTTTGATCATGAGCTTTTCGCTTTCGCTTTCGTATCAATTTGCATCCTCACAACTTCACTTGTCAACATAAATTGACTTTTTCCTTCCCAAACTACCTCCAAAAAAAAAACCACAAAGTTGGAGACACATTTCTCATTTCTCCGCCTCCTCTCTCTTATCCTTCACCGGCCGACCGCCACCTCCCCAACCAGCCCCCACCCCCGCCTTCTGCGACTGTCGCCGACTCAAATCTGATCCACATCTGATTGGGCAACCCAATGCGGGCCAGGTCGGGGCTTGGTTGTTATGGAAGACCTGTGAGCATTTGGCTAGGAGCTCGCTAGGTCTGCGGGAGCCTCGCAAGGCCGAGCTCACAGCTTGCGCAAGTTTGACTTCCGATGGGCATCAGCGAGCTCCGTGTGAGAGAGGAGAGGACGCGGGGTCGTTGGTGGTGAGGGGCTTACCGGCAAGGGGGCACAGGAAGTGGCGTCGAGAGACAATGGCAACGGCGGAGAGGGGTGGAGAAAGAACCTTAGATTTTTGAAGTTAATAAAGAAGTGGAATATTAATTAGGGTTAATACCACGAAAAATCTCAAACTGATACACTTGTAATAAATTTACTCCAAACTAATTTTTTGACCACAAAAAATCCTAAACTAGTACACTTACGACAAATTTACCCTCCGTTAAATTGGATTAATACCACGAAAAATTATAAACTGATAAATCTGTGACAAATAAAGAGGTAAAACCCTAAACTGCCACACTCGTTAACTGTTACGAGTTATCCAACTTAGTAATTTGATGGTAAAATATAACGAAAATTAACGGAAGGTAAATTTATCACGACTGTACCAGTTTTGGATTTTTTATTGTCAAAAAATTAATTTTGAGTAAATTTTCAGTTTTGGATTTTTTGTGATATTAATCCTATTAATTAAGCTCGTGTTATTAATACTCGAAAACATTTCTATATATATTAATTAACATATGAGGTTAAGCATTTATTATTGGATCAGTGACATATGAATAAATACGATTTCAAGCACACATGTCACCCGTTCAACAACAATAAATGTACCCAACCGCAAAAGAAAAAAACAACGGTAAATGTGTAAAAAGTTATTAAATCAGTAGTGAACGTAACATTAATCCTAATTACAAACAATATTCGCAAAAGCCCGCGTCATTAATGCATAAAATCTTACTTTTATATATTAACACGTATAAGATTATTATTATTATTATTATCATCGTTATAGTTATCATTATTATTATCTGGGCCAGAGCTAGACCCTCAATCCTCACATGATTTTTGGAAAGGATAACGACATAAATAGTTCTTGATCTAATATGCAATGTAGTCCATGAACTTTTAATTTGTTCAATGTAATCCTTGGAGTTTAGCGTAATGCTCAATATGATCTATGTGTTTTTAATTTATTCAATATGATCCATGAACTTTTGGTACAGATTCAATTTAGTCCTTGAACTATATGAAAATATTCAATGTAGTCTTTTAAACATGTACTAGAAGTTCAAAGATGAAATTGAATAAATTAAAAGTTTAGGGACAATATTACACATTGGTTTAAAATTCAGGGACTATATTGAACAAATTAAAAGTTCAGGAATAACATTATACGTTCGGTCAAAGTTTAGGGATTGTTTGTGTCATTTTCTCTTTTTGGAACTAATATAAAAATCACGACGACATAATTGAAAAAGTGAAAAAAGAAGGAGAAAAAAGAGCAGAACAGTGGCGAGATGCGGAGCGACGAAGCCAGAGTCCTTCTGGGCTTCCCTCCAAATTCTCGTCCCACTCCTTCTCAGGTGCGCTCCGATTCGATCTTTCTCCTTCTCCATCTCCGATTCTTGCAAGAATTCTGCCCAAAAACAGTTGATTTGTCGTCGGGCTCGATCTGGGTCTTCGTATTTTTTTTCTTATTCCGGCCCTTTCTTGATCGCTGGAATTCGTCCCACTCTGTTCGCAATCTTTTTCTTGTTGTTTCGTTGGTCCATTTTGCTTCGGTTCATTCAAAATTTTAGAGGGCGAGAGGGTTCGCGAGGTTGGCGACTCGTGTGGTCGGAGGATGATGATGGGTCTAATCTTTACCTGCCTCGGTTCAGTAATTATGAAACGTGGGACTGTGTTGTGGGTCTCTATCAAGATTTGCTTATGTGCACGACCTGCATTTTGGTGGGAGCTATGGTGTCCAACTTTGATGTCGGTTTGTTGCGGTTGGGTCGATTTTGTTGCAGGTTAAAGCGGCTTTCAAGAAGAAGGTATGGGAGTCGCACCCCGATCTCTTCCCAGTTAATGAAAAGCCAACTGCAGAATCTAAGTTCAAGCGGGTAACTACTGTGGCTCCTGAAATGTTGGAGCTTATATATATATATATATATTTTCTTCTTTATTTCTTCTGTGTTCAATCTTTAGTTAGCTGCATTTTGGTAATATCTCTAGGAACTGAGTTACTTCAATTGGTATATTTATTTGTTGCAGATTTCAGAAGCTTGCAACTGTATGCTGTCCGGTAATTCTCTCTAGTCTTTCAGAATTTGGAACGAATCAATTGCATCTTGAACAGTAGTTGTTTGGTAGAACTAGGGCTCGCTTGATAATTTGCGTGCTTCCTTTGAAATTCTAAGGGCATGGCATAATTAGCTTGTAACAGATTCCTGCTAAAAGTTGCATCCCTGACAGCTTTCTGAGTCGCTTCTTGTATATGACAAAGCTGTTTGTGCTTGCTCTTGAGATAGGTTTTACTTTACTATGTCAACTTTGGTCATGACTCACTTGAATAAATTGAGAGACAGAACTACTCTTATTGCGATATTCTAATGAAGCCAACTAAAAGGCGGCATTAGTATATTAATTTCATCTATTGATATTGGTAGTGGTCTCGTCTCAGGTTGTCAAATAATAATGAGTGCATCTGGGTTTGAGTTTGCAAAGCACGTGAGCGATGTTAGTGGCTGTCGGTTTAGAATCATATTCTAGAGTCTTTCCCCTATTATGAATTTCTGACATTGTTTCATGTTTGCATCATAGGTGCGAAATGGGAATATTCAGAGTCAGGTAACTTTGAAATCGCCGTGTCTGTGTGTGTGGGTTGTGGAAGGGCGTTTGTGGTGACAGAATGATCTCCTTTTTTCTACAGGTTCATACGTTCGTGTTGTGAGAAGGGGAGTTTCATCGGCAAATGGTGCAAAAGGACATCGTGTCCTCGTGGGGATACCTTTCCTACTCATCGTTCTGGGAACAGTCGGACTAGGTGGACTTAACGCTTCCAGGTGTTTTTCCAGCTTTGAGATTGCCAGGCTCGTGGGAACGTAATTTTTCAGTCACAAGCAATGACTGATGACGTACTCAACTTTTCATTTGTTTGTGTTGTCTAGGGCATACAACAGGGAAAAGGAGAATTATCCATCTCATAATCCCTTTCTTCCCTGATTTGGGAACCATAGCCAAAACTTAAGTCGGACAAATTGTCTGGCATCGTGGTCATCAAGTTGCATGTTCGACAGATAAGGCGCTAAGGCAAAGAAACGTGCGATGTTTTCCTGTGCGTGTTTGTTAATCCTGTAAATGAATACACCATCAAGAATATCAATCTCCGGATTACCTTCTTCATTCTTTTTAAGAGTCATATACAATTTGTCTGCAGCCATTGGTCATCTTAGCTTGCTGATTAAACACTCCGCAAGATCCTTTTTCTTGATGTATATTTTCTTTCTTTATGTCATCTGGTCATGTAGCACCTCCATATATCACTATCAATTTTTCAAATTGTATGATCGGTCTATGGACTTGTCACTGTGGATAAGCTACGAAAAAATGCAAGCACTTAGGTGAAACTGGTATAGTTCAACGGTACCGGCGAATCACATCAACTCTCAAGCCGAGGAAATGTGTGCTCGGTCGGTCTCGACTATGAATCAGGAGAAGCGCTGGGAAACTTCCATGTGTATCTCGAGTTATTAAAGCGATAGGTTAGCTCACAAGATTTACACCCCTCTAAAACAAGAAGCAGGGCCAACTTAGGACTCCAGTGAACATCAAATCAAATTAATGAATGAGTCCTACACCCTCTGCAATATCAAAATAGTCCAAAACATTGTAAGTTTTAGTTTGGCCAGAAGGAAAGGTGATAGAAATTGTGAGGCAGTATCAATTGGTCAAATTGCCCCAGCTACACAGGTCATTCCCTTGTCATACAGTTCTTTTTTCAGGGGTCAATGCGACAAATATACATGTCGCAGGGTTCAATTTAACACCGTTGAGATTCATTTCTAACCAGAAATGGGTTTACGAAAAACCAACATAATTTCAAGGAGGATACAGGAACAGTCCCAGATTGTAGGCATTATTTCCATAATGGTCTAGAGAAACAGACACACGGCCAAATAGTAACTTAAACCTATCCATCGGCATTACTAGTTCAATACAAAAATACAGCCAGTAAAAAGCTTCTTCCCCAACTAGTACCGCAATCATGCCTTGCATCAATAGCAATGCCTTCATCAATCATCCACCCACAAAGATCAGAATGTGCTGATGGAACGTAAATGCGAACTACATTTGACTGAACATATATTGTGAGCTGCTGAGAAAAGTCGTTGACACCTCTGGCACACATAACAGATGCGCTGCAAATTCTTCTGTGGAGACTCCATTTGTAACTAACCGTGTTGAAGCATTTTCTATAAGTCCATGTACTTGTCAAAAGAGTAAGATCTTCCGCACTATCTGGTTGTTGGAAATGAAGCTTCAAATCATCCAGCATAGACAATTGGTCTGCAATCTCAAGTAATTTCCTCAAAGTTGTTCTTGGCCTTGACCACATTATGGTTTTCAACCATGCAAAAACCAACAAGAAAGTTTGTTTGCGATGCAAATTATAGGTAGAGTACATAACTAGTTTCTATAATATAGCTTCTTTAGCATCCGAAAGTCTAATTATTGATGCATAAATGATTTTCTTCGCCAAAATCAAGCTTCGACTGTAGTATCCACGTCACTTTTAGTCTCTGCAAGAGTAATAGTAATCGGTTGCCATCCTATTTGGGGGTGAATAATCCATTTCTTGATTGTAATTATCATGTTCAATAGCTGGATTACGTTGCCCAAAGGAAGATCTTTTAAGCAAGCTCTCTTGATAATTAAAGCTGCCTCGTACCTGTCAAGAATATTTATTTGAAATAGAAAGAACAGAGCAGTCATATGTATAAGATAAAGGAGCAAACCAGTGAAATAATGATAACTGATTATAAACTAGAATCAAGAAGAACAGAATGTTAACCTGCATCTAGAAGCAAACAAGGCTGATCTTCCAGCTGCAGATGACAGGAAACTTTCTATGCGATCCCATATTTCTTTCAGGTATTCACTAGGATTTCCACCAATAATGTTGACACAGTTCCATAATTTCTCATTTCTACCCACGTATAACTGCAGTGTCCCTATATTTTGCTTTACAACCATACGTTGCTCAAGCGCACTAGCCAAGGCCTTTTTCACATCGATATTCCGGAACTTAGAATCCCCATAACGTATGCAATCCGTGATGTTTGCTTCAGTAGGAATAATTTTTTCTTCTTTCAAAGTGTTCAATGCCAGTATTATGACACCAATAAGGCCTTGCACATACTGGGAAGGCGGTGTGTATCCCTGACTTCCCCAGACACCATTGCCAGAATCAACATTAACAATTTGAGGAGATGAAGATGAAAATTCAGGAGCACTGGTGTATCTGCTGTCAGGTTGAAATTGTTGACCCATGGACACATGGCTTCTGTTCAATGTATTATAGCTAACTGATTTAGTAGATTCATCAAAGCTAGAATTGTTCTCATATCTGTCCATTTGATTGCGGTATTGTGCATAGCTTGGGGATTCAGATAGCCTTAGATTGCCAATATTGGGTATACTTGTGACTGGAACAGAAGCAGGTAGAAAAGTGTCAGGCCTTGGAGGAACCGGACGAAAGTCGCGATTAGGATAAGAACACCTTGGGTCACCATGGCCAAAATTAGGTTGCACTGGAGGGTTGTTTGGAGTAACTGGGCGAGGATAGAGATTTTGTGGAAAGCCGATAGTCCCATAGGAATCATGTTTGCTAGGAGAACTGTTTGGCTCAGACCTACTGGCAGAGACAATAGACTCACCAGCACTAAAAAATTCATGGGGTGCTTTCTTAAACTGCTTTTCTTGTGTAAATTCCCACTTGTTATGATTAGTATTTTTTGTATCACCATTACCAGGAAAACTAGCCGCTCTGGTCATGCTTGACGGCGTAGGAGATCTCCAAACCTGTTTTCCATTAGCACTATGTGTGCTATCGCCAAACCTCCCAGTAGTAGAAGTTTGGTACCTTACTGAAGACAGGGACATACTATCAGAAGTCAAGAGTTGACTCGTCTGGGTTGGTTCGTAAGTTGGGTTCTGTAGCATCCCAGTGATGCATGGATAGTTACCATTAACAAGCTGCAATGATTCGCCACTTGCCAGAGGGGATTCTCCACCAGCAAGATTTGTCCACAACCATACGCTCTTCGCAGCAGCTACCAGTGGAGCGGATGCTTTTTGTGGTTGTGCCAAGAGTATATTATATCTTCTCATACGCAACTGATGGAGGGCGTTAGAAAAGTCCCTATCGCCGGAAATCAGCAGATAATTTGCTGGAGCGGGATTATCCACAGCCCAAAACAGCATATCAACTAGAATCTTCTTGTCACTGGCATCCTTCACACCTGTTTTGATCACATGAACCATCTACATCAAAATGCCGACCCTCTGAGACCTTCCTCCACACTAACGGGGGGAAATAGCAACAAATAAGAAACTGACCACGAAACAGTATACATGGCCCTACACATAGCAGATTGATTAAGCGGAAAGAATAGAACTTTTTAGCTGTAGAACAAAATAAAAATCTCAAAGCAATGTCCGGAGATCGCATCATTTGAACGAGTCCGTGCCTCCGTCAACTAAATGACAATATCCTTTAAGTCCTCCAAATTCATCACATCAAACAATTTTAACCCAAGCGGTTTCGATTCTAATGCCTAAGTCCATCCAATCTTCCAGATGCCTTAACTTATCCGCGAAAAGATTTAACAAAAATCATCAAACTACGACGAATGCACTGATTACAGCAAGTCAGCAAAATCGTCGAGTGTCAAATTTGGTTTAACAGAGGTTTCATTTGCAGCAGATGCGAAGACAAACCAACTGGACATATCACAGGCTCAGTCACCCAAAGAGACGAGACGAGACGACACCAACCAAAGAAGAGACAAAGGAACACTTCGTAAAGAACCTCGAAGAACCACAATCTACCAGGCTAGGGTTACGGCAACATCAAATCATGCGCTCGGCAATCGCTACAGCAACAACCTCGCTAGACAAGAGAAGCAACGAGGGAAACAACCGATTGACACGATAGGGTTTTCGCGACCGATTACCCGCGGGGACGTGATTCAGCGCGATGCCGGTGCTGGAGAGGGCGTTCTGGATCGAGCTCGGGAGCCGGTTGGTGTCGCCGTAGGCGGAGATCGAGACGGGGCCGCAGTAGTTCATCTTCACCAGAGCTGAACTTATGTTCTGCGCGATCGCGTGGGGGTCGCACCCCTTGGGGACTTGGCAGTTCTCTATGTCCCACCACACCGACGTCTTCGCGCTCGCGTAATGCGCCTCCGCCCTCGCCGGCGGCGGCGCCGACGCCGCGGCGGAGGCGGCGATCGTCCCGGTCACGTCTCCGGCCATGGCTACCGGCGGGGGCGGGGGTGGATACTGGCTGCTAACTGTACAGCTTGCTGCTTCACGGGCGGAGCCTCTGCAATTTTTCGTGGGGAATCGCGTGTGTACATATTATAGGAGGAAGGGGGCAGGAGCAGGACGACTGAATTTACCATGTTGACCCTGGTTTTTGACCGTGTGGAAAGTGGCAGTTGACGGTCAATTCACCATGTTGCCCCTGGGATGTGTTTTTGGGGGAAGGAATAGCACGGTTGGCCCAATTGTCTAAAAAATCCCCCAACTTTACGCCTCGTCTAAATCTGTCCCGGATTTTTCTTTATCTAATAAAAACCCAAACTTTAGGTCTAATTCAAATCTACCCCAAACTTTTCTTCATTAAAAAAAAACTCAACTTTAAGTTCAGTCCCAAATTTACCCCAAATTTTTTTTGTCTAATAGAAAAAAATCATCGATTTTTACACTAGTCCTAATTCCGTCCCCATTAGCCCTTTGTCCCTTAATTTTATATTATAGAATGGTTTTATTTTAGAAATAATTTTCCATTTCACATTGCTGCTGTGGATTTATTATCAATGTGGAAATGCTACGTCAAGTTGAAACTAGACCACGGAAGTAGATTTGATAATAGATTGAAAGTTGATGATTTTTTTAAACAAAATAAAACTCGGGGTAGATTTGGGACTGGATATAGAGTTTGGATTTTTCCGAGACAAAAAAAAGGTTTAAGATAGAATTGGAACTAAACCTAAAATTTAGAATTGTTTTTTAAGGAATCAGACCTATTAAGTTAGCATCTTTTTGATAATTATTAGGTGCTTTGAGAGCACCGAAAACGAAAGCGAATAAAAGAAGGTTTGCCTCGCATATGAATAATTTAGGAGATATCTTTTTTAGAATAATTATTTGTATTGTTTTAGAAAAATTATTAAATGAAACATATTTTTATTATCAATAATAATTTATGTTTAAAATTTTTTAATGAGACTTAAATTATTTTTTCTTAATTCATTTTTGTAAGTTAATTTTAAAAAAATGTTTTCTAAACCTTTAATTTTCTTTGAAACGAGGCGCTCAGTTTAATAAGATTTTTAACTCGTCATGAGTTGCGAGTTTTAGGATAACTTTGGCATCACATTCACATTTACACAACTTGATAATATTGGGGATGCGTTTGAAGTGCATTTAATAAATTGCCCAAAAATCTAAATCCGAGAAGTCATTTGTAAAATTATGTCCATTTCTCTTAAACTCGAGACCCATTTTTTCCTACAAATAACTCTAAATCTTTCATAATATATGAACCCAACATTGTTAAGTGCAAAATTCTTGTAATTTTCATCAGTTAAATTGTTGTTGGAAATTTTCCATGACATTCGATTGTACCTTAATGAATGGCTTAAGCCCGTTGAAACGCACAAGAAGGTATTATCGGATGAGGGTCTTTACTAACACATTCCCAAAATTACCAACACCAATTTGGAAAAATTATCATCGTATAATAAAATTTACTAATTATCGATCTGGGTTAGAAATTGATAAAAGTTATGAATTTCACAGGAGATTTATTTTTCTTCTTTTCTAGGCAATCCAATTGTGATTTGCCTAATCTAATGCAAAACTCTAAGTTCAACTTCTTTGCCAAGTCCCGATATGCTCATGTAATGTCCTAATTCAACATACACATGAAAAAGGTGACGTGTGACTTAAGTCACCATTTCGAACCTTGGAATAAATTGTGTCCTAAGTTATTGTCTCATAATTCTGCCTTTTATTTATTTATTGGTCGAATTCTGTAATTTATTTGGTTGTTATCTTTTGGTCGCGAGATACTCATTTTCTCGTATTGATTGCTGGAAAATTAATAGTTATAATACTACACGAGAAAGTGAAAGAAATTGCAAGTTATAACCGCACGTGTGTCACATATGAATCAGGCGGAATAATTTTTTTAAGGATTTAAATTATTATTTAATTGAGTGGATGCGTTGCGAGTTATTACTAAATTTTTGTGAATTATATTATATGAGTGAGAGTAGTGCGTAGTTTAAATTTTTGATGCGGGGTTAATTTTGTAAAACAAAAATATAAATTATTAGAAATGTGCATAAGTTTAGCACTCAATTGGCGTAATCAAAAGGTTTACTACTAAATTGACAAAAGTGCAACAAGTTTAGAATTTTTTGGACAATTTTCTCCAGGATCGTATGAACGCTTAGATAACACACTTTCAAGTTAGAGGTACTAAAAGGGTGTTAATAGAAATATTGAGGTGGCTAGCAATATCACATAGAGAGGGTGAATAAGTGATTATAAGCCAACTTGACAAATTAAATTGGAATTAAAGCAGTCAAGATTAATATCATGTGAAAACAGAGTCTAAAGAGAGACTATGCTATAATCATATTTATTTGTGTGCAATATACTATCAAAGATAATACTAAATAGTCAAGGGATAGGAAAAATTGCACACAAAAGTTTTAGTGGTTTAGTTTATTGTAAACCTACGACCACTCTTCACGTAAACAGCCTACTGGCTGGATTTTATTAGTGAATGTCAGAAGTTACAAAAGTGAGTGATAACACTCAATCTTGATAGGTTATCTTAGAGTCACTCTTTTAAAACCTCTAAAATACTAGACTTTTGAAGCTTACTGAGACAAGTGTGTAGGGTAGAAGCTCTATTGAACTTTGGAATTTCAGATTCACGATCTTTATTTTCTTCATCACCAGAATTTCTTTTTATATTCCTCCACTTCCAATCTAGCCGTTGGACAGTCTACAAAGGATCATTCTCCAATTAACCCGTTGGACACGAATGCTTCAAAGAGATTGAGTAGATGTTGAGTGATGAGATCAGAATTTCCCATTAATTCAATCACCTATACAACCAAAGCTGGGTTTTCATAAGTAGAGTTCTTTCATTGGAAAGAATATCTTGCCTTTGGACGATTGTCAATCAATCAAAGATGTCTAGCTTTGAGTAAGTTTGTTGCAAAACAATATTTAAGATCGAAGATCAATCAACATTTTCTATAAGAAAAATCCGAGTCAGATTACTAATCGTTCTGACATATATGTACACACACACACACATACATACGTTGTATTCTAAGTCTGAATAGATTTCTCGATTAGATGATACTATCTGAGTCTGAATACTCCCTGAGTTTGAATAGACTTTACATAGAGTCTAAAGATGCCAAACGTCTTGACAATATCCACGTGCAAGTTTTGGTGATATCCTCATATTACTCTAATCATATCCATGACATACATTTATGATGTCCTCGAAGTAAATATTCGAAACTTCATACATAATATCTAGATGACAATAACTAGAGTCTGAATATCGTTTTTTCGTGAATATCACATAAAAATATTTTCATTAGATTCAATAGTCACTATGGAAGGTTTTGTCAATCCTCAAAACATATTAGGAAGTTTTCTCAACAAATATTCGCGTAAACAAGTCCCTGAATTAGAAACCTGGTTGCGTAGGAATCGAGATGATACTTTCGTGTCTCGATTGGTTTTTAGCCAACTTCAAATGGCCAGTGGCGACTCTGAGAAATACTTAAGTTGTTAAGAACTTTAAAAATGAAATTCAACATCAAGCGATGTATGGTCTTGGGAGAGCTTGCACTCTTAATTGATGGTCCCCTTGGATCGTCGGAATCATCTTTTCAACAAACCATTTGGACGTCTTTCAAGCAATACCTCTAAACCTATTTCCTGAGGAGCCTTTGGGAGAGGTCACGACACTTTGTTTAGTATTTGATGATCCTTTGCAGGTTTCATCTCTAAATGGCACTATGGGGCAACAAGTGCACAAACTGCGTGGTATAGATCATAGTGACTACTTTTACTGAATATTAATTGGGTCATTGATTGGATTTTGGATGGTTTCCGACATTAGGTTCACCTGTGCTCTGAGTTTTTCTAAAGGTTGTTGAAAATGCAGGCCAAGAATTTTCTCAGCGGGTTGACACTTTTTCCACTGATGGAGGCGTATTTATCGGCTAATCACAGCTCCGAATAGATGTCGAGCTGTTGTCTCTGGGAAGCAGCCCTCCCTGCTGGATAAAGACAGGCGTGAAATTCCTACTCCAAGAGAACAGATGGCTAACAAAGACACCACAGAAACAAAAATTAGAGCTGAGAAGATTCCTAAGCGGTAAGTTGATTGTCATCTGTTGAAAATCAGCAAAACTACAAAAGAAAGGTTGATATCATGCATTGACGAGTACAAGCCAATAGTAATCAGGTTACATCGATGGCTATGATATAGAGAACGATATAGAGTTAGTCGTGGTGATACCCAAATTAGCTTTCCAATAAAGGCGCAAATCGTAGTTTGTTGTCCATATTTTGTGATCTCCTTATGGATGTCTCCGTAGACAATGAAGATATATAATTCGAGATCCTGTTGGACCATTATAGCTGTACTTTGTTCTTAATAAAAAGAGAATTGGTATATTTAGAAGCTTTGAGTAAGTGGCCAAGCCGTTAAAGAAGCTAAAGTGGTGATAAATCCCGTTAATGTCTTTTTTTAGAAAAAAGGACACTAGAAGTGCCAAAAGTTATGTACAGCACTCACTTTAGTGTCAAAATTTTTTTTCGGATCACTTAATTGCCGACTTTTTAAAAAAACGATCACTTAAGTGCCAACTCCGATTTGAGTCGCCGGAAATCCGACATGGCCATATTTTACTAATTTCTCAGTCCTACATGGCTCGCCGGCGTGCCCAGTCAGCATGTAACCCCTAAACGACGTCGTCTAAAAGTTGTATATAATGATCATTTGAGTGCCAAATTTTTTTTGAAGCGATCATTTCAGTGCCAATCGTTGTTAAAAAATGATCACTTCAGTGCCAGTCATTATTAAAAAAAGTGTTCATTTCAGTGCCAAGCGCGCACCAGCACAAGTGCTAGTGCAAGCGACAGAGTCAACACAGAGAGCTGGCGGAGGAGGATTGAAAGAAGATCAGTTCAAATATCACGATAATGTCGCCTCACACTTGATCCGTCACCCTAACTTGTAATTGTTCTTTTCATTTTTTTCTATCAGGTTCATTCATGGAACGGGGGCTCAAAACATTGAATCAAAACAAATACATTAAGTGCGGCAAAAGGACACTATAAGTATCATAAGTTGTGTACGGAGATCACTTTGGTGCCATAATTTTTTTTCGGATCACTTTGGTGCCAAGTCGGAGGAAAAGAGATCATTTTAGTGACTCCGGCCAAAATTCCAGCAAAAAAAAGAGCCACGTCAGATTTCCGGTGAGCCATGTTAGCATCGGAAATTAATAAAAAAAGAGCCACCTCATATTTTCGGCGGCCATGTCAGCATTGACACTAAAGTGATCGTTTTTCAAAAAAGTTGGTACCAAAGTGATCCGAAAAAAAATCATGGCACCAGAGTGATCTCCGTACACAACTTATGACACTTATAGTGTCCTTTTGCCCATTAAGTGCTTGTCTCTTGTGCAAGGAAAATTGCATCGTGGATGCCATGACGGTAGCATTCAGATACTGGGTTTTTTTATGCTCCGTAGCTCCAACACAAGTGTTTTTGCGTACATATATCGCTTTGTGGCTATAGTCTTTGCTCCCGTTGGAGCACTGACCGTCAGAATTCAGTTGAAACCAGGAAATCAATTTGGTATCAAGGACACTCAATTGCATTCAGAGTGTTCTCGAAAATTAGTTGGAAAAAGAAATCCGATCCATGTAGTGGATTGATATATTCTCTTCCTTGGATGGAGCAACCGTTAAGGTATCCATAATAAGGAAGAACAAGATATGTCTTGTCCTGCCATAAATATAATTTACATCTCAAGTTCACTCATCACTTCCACGATTTCAGAGCCAGCTCATGGAAGCATTAAATTCTTGATTCTTTCCGTTAATTTCTCTCTTTCCAACCCCGCTCAATCACTTGATGATCTTGCCTCTTGCCTGCCATATTTTCGAGTAAAAATATCCCATTGATTTCTCCTCTTGGCTATCCGTGATCTCTTTCACGATTTTGCCTCCTCAAATCTTCGAAATTTTCTCTTTATAGAGTTCAAATAAAATCTCTTAAGTTGACACTGAAGAGAAACAAGGCAGAACAGAGCCTTACTCTGTTGCAAAAAACAGAGCAGAAACAGGACAAACTGACTGTGGCTTTGCCGGCGACCAGCAAGGGCTATGAATGGCAAGTGGCTTCAATCTATGGCCGGCCTGAGATATTGGCGACTGGTGTGGGTTAATAGTGGCCGCCCATGTCTCTGCTCGTGCTCGGTTGGGTGATGCCTTCGGGAAAATGGCTGAGGTGGTGTGATGATTGATGGTGGCCATGCATGGGACGACGATTGTTGCGCGTAGGTTGGCTGTGGTGGGGAGTTTTACCTCTGTGGAGGGGGTGATGGATGGCGGGTAGCAAACGGCGGATGATGGTGTCCTTCCGTGGCGAGGGAGCGACGGTGACGGTAAGAATCGAACGTCAACGTGTTTTGCCTGGGAGTAGTGCGGAGAGAGTCGGCATAGGATCGAGTCGATTCGAAGAGAGTCGACTAAGAAGACTGAGTTGCTCGGGATTCAACATCCCTGAGCCCAAATCTAACCTTGTTTTCGGAAGACCCTAGATCCTCGGTCACCTGAGCCCCACGACACCCTCACGATGACAATGAGTGAGGTCGTGGAGGGGTTGTCGAAGGTTGTGGCGCAACTTGTATGTAGGACTGGGTGGTGATGGGGAGCGTCGGTGAAAATAGTCCGTCTCATGAAGTGTGGAGGAGCATCATGCATAAGGGAGAAAAGAGAAGGAAAAAAAAAAAAGAAACAAATGACGTGGAGGGAGATGAAGGAGAAATATACACATGGAAATGCACATGGATTGATTTTTTTTTTTTTTAAAAGTGACTCAGATTAAAATTTTAATTATAAAAGTTATGTAATCAATTTGGCCAGAATTTCTCGCCGTTGACACTTAAGTGATCGTTTTTTCTCCGATTTGACACTTAAGTGAGCCGACGAAAATTTTTAGCACTAAAGTGAGCGCCGTAGGCACTTTTGGTATCCTTCTTCCTTTTTTTAGGAAGTCCACCTATAATTTTCTAATGAATTGTGCAAATCTCTTTTTTTTAACGTAATTTAATGAATCTGACACGTATATCAAGATTAAATTTGGATCATTATAATAGTGATTGTCATCGAGTCCATGGTCCAATTTCATTTTTATCTAAATTCAGCCAGTAATTTCTCCCAGAAGAGTTGCCCCCTCTTGCAGCAGCACTTGCGCCTGCAACTGCCGATTGGCTTCTTAATGAGTTCGAATAATTCAGTTTGCCATGTCCACATCTGTAACTTTTCTTATATTGGAAAAAAGATCCGGGTATTCTATCGAGACATAGGAAACTCTGTCAACTTTTTCTGTCACACCCAAAACCTATAGAGATAAGGATATGACACGGCCGTCCTATATATATATATTAGATTGTTGGTCCTGTGTGAGGCTGTGTCCTTTGTGTGAAATGATGGCCGTGCCATATTTCTATCCCTGTAAGTTTTGGGGCGTGACATTTTCTATAGGCCGTTTGCTATGAAATCTAATTAAAAGATTACGCATTGTGTACTCTTTTCCAACAATGATTCTACCCTGTAGCCTTTGGCATGTGTTCATTGCATGCCATGCCCGTCGCTGTTAACTCAACCTAATCGTGTCGTTCCGCCGATGCGCGTGCTTGCATGCACATTAATCATCAACATTAGGGTCATAATCTCCACCTGGTTTCTCTCTTGAATATTAATTACATGAAAGAACTCGTCGCATTAGGTGCTAATAACAATGTCGACGAGTGTGAAGCGGCCTCTCTTGTAAATCTCATTTCTTAAGTTAAGCGAAAAAAATTGTTATTAATACCCATAATGCACATGAGGGGAAAAGTACCAAAAAAAGTTCTAAACTTATTGCATTGATACCAATTCAGTCATAAACCTTTCAATTGGATCAATTTAGTTCTAAACCCTTTCACATTAGTACCAATTCAGTCTATCCGGTTAATTTAGGTCGGAAATTGCTGACGTGGATGCTGGCGGTCCAACGTGGATGCTGGCCGTCCTACGTGGCACGACCCGCACTAACGTGGACATTGTAATCACAAAGGATGGTGGTTCGTGGAAATCAAATAAGTCAATCACAATAATTCACTTCTCGCTTCCAAAACTCATGCATAACGTTTAGAAATACAAGCATATGACAAGACAAACCATGTCCAGCAAAAGAAAAGGATAAATTGCCTTTTCACTCGGTCTTCCCCATTTGTATTAAGATAATTTGTGGCCAAAAGAGTTCGAAAACACTCACTTCAAGGTGATTTCTGTTTAGATCCACCTTTCAAATTTTCAATCACTCTCATTTAACGGAAATGATATGATGCAAAACAGCACACGGCCCATGAATCGAGAGCTCGATATAAGCCTCCAACTCCAATACGGTTCGACTTGGTTTATCATGTGATTGTATCTCGCTTGTCTAGAAAAGGAAAAGAAAAAAGAGTTTGGATTTGAGAATTTAAAGAGCAGTTGAAGGCTCTGATAATGAACGGCTTTGGAAATTCAATGGCTTGATTGATCACTATTATCGAAAACTACATGATCTTTCTAGGTGGAAGCATACAATGAAGCGGTCTCTACACTCCCTTTCATCTGTTTTGGAAGTTCACTTTTGCAATGGCACAAGCGAATACAGACGTGAAAATTAGCGGAAAGGTCAAAAGCACGATGGCTACGATATAGAGTTGATCGTAGTGATATCCGAAATAACTTTCCAGGAAGGCGCTGATCGTTGTTTGTTGTCCATGAACTGTGATCTCTTTATGGATGTCTCCGTATTGCGAACTAAGCAGACCTCTCAATGACCACGCGTTCGGGCATATCCAATAAAACCAACGCCACCACACCGGAATTTCCTGTCAAAAGGGTTGGAAAAAGACGAGCAGTTAGATGTGTTAAAGGATAACTAATATTCATGATTTAGCGTGACAGATATGCTTCCGCCGTTTCTTGAAGGGGTAGCAGAAGTTGAATCAGAGACTTACGGGTCCGGGAATGAGGAACCCGCAGAATAGATTGAACATGGTGTAGGAAAAACTCACGAACAATGCAGCCACTTGGTACGTCGGTGTCAGTGAAACCAGCATCATTCCGAAGTAATTGGAATAGAGCAGCGTAAAAAACATGGTGTAGAAGTACCAGAACACTTTATAGAATGAGACGTAGAAACCTATGGCAGGGAATGTGATCAGCACAAACAGAACCGCTTGCAGGAATATGTATGGAATTTCGATGACCACCTGCAACATACTTGAGGGGCATAATATCTTTGTTAAGATAGGGAAGAAGAACGAGAAATATATTAGTAATTAGTCGAGAGAATACATAGCAAAGGAGCATGAATCAGCGACCTGAGCAAATGAATAGGACCACGACGAGTACATTCCCGCGAATCTTTCCCTGTAGACAACGATACGTTCGGCAGCAACAAATGGCAAAACCGAAGTGCAGCTGCCTATCCCCGTGACTTGCACAAAGGCAAACAGTGATCCAAGTATGTTGAGAATATCCTGCTCGTCATTTCTTCAAAACAAAGAATCATGTTTCAGCATCTTAGATTGTAAGTTTTACAAGGTACTAATCCCGATGTTTGACAAGCTATAAAACATTTTTTCCGGACTAACTAGGTTTATGAATGTTGGAATTTGTGATCCAATTTCTAGAGCCTTTTAGGATGGGCATGTGCAGTCTTAAAAATATTTTACAGAAAACATGGTTGCTACAAAAGATATTGTAAACAAAGTCTAAAGTTGGTGCTGTAAGTCGGTGGAAATGCCTATAAATAGGCAATACTCATTCATGTTGAGTGTATGGGGAGTTGAGAATAAACTCCATACCCTTGTACTCCTCCACCAACACCAACATTTCCTCCTACAACTTTGTATGTTCTACCTTGTTCCCTTGTCCTCTATCAAATATGTCCTACACACACTTGCACAATTAACCAAAAACTATTATTGATATCGAAACCATGCTTCCGCGCATTCCCAATTTTTTAACAATGAAGAACAACTTACATTTCCTTTCCTTTCTGCCAAAGGAGAGAGGCACACAACAAGGAAGATGCCGTGATGAATAGCAGGCGCACCAGGTTGTATTTAGGGCTTCTCCAGTAGGTTAAATGTTGTTTCCACAAGCATGTTTTGAACTGCTCCCACCTATTTTGTGGGAAGCGTGCAGAGAAACTTATTTCTTTTGTGCCAGCCGCTGGCAAACTTAGCTCTCTAACTAATTCTAGGTTCGTCCTACAAAGATCAACAAAATGTAACGGCAGACATGGTGTCATTTTCTGGTCAGCACTCCAAGATAGCATCACATGAGAGACAGAAGCACTGAATTTTGCAAATTGTGTGCTTAATGAGCACTTACTGTGTGCTTAACGTGTGCTTTCTACATTAGTCTACTGTATGCTTACCTGCATCGCTCAGACTCCTTATAAATGACGCTGTAGTCTATACGAAGTTGATCTTCTAGCGAAGGACTTGTGATTTCCAGTATCCACGTAGCAGGATTGTAATTATTCTTGATTTTTGGCACTGCAGGAATACTCTGCACAAGGGAAATGTAGGGATTCATTAGTCAAGCTTTCTTAATTCAATTTAAGTTTTTTCATATCCAGTGTAGATTACCTGATAAGACTATTCAATAGTTTTGCCTATTTCGTATAATTTTCTTCCTTTTGGTTATATCAGCATTGTTTGCAGCTTATAATAGAAGCAATTCTTACTTAACGACGTGCAAATTGTAGAAAAAGAAGTATAAATTGAAGTGCTCACGCCTGAGGTGTAAAACTTACCTCAAAATATTCAACAAGCTTATTTGAATGCTCGCCAAGCTCTCCAGAGTATATCATTTCACCTCCTCTTTTCATCAGGATTAGCTGGACAGTTTATCAAATGCGATATGCTTCAGTTATGTTCTTCTCAGTTATCAATGCACTTAAAGAAAACATGTGGAGGGAGCAGTGAATCGTGCAAGAATTGACATGTGATTGTAATATACACCAAAACTCTATTGTCTAAGCGTAATTACGGCGAGTAGAAGAGACTGCTATAGAAACAAATGCATTAGCAAGTTACCTCGTAAAAAGCCTCAAATATGTCAATGCTTGGCTGGTGAATTGTACACACAATTGTCCTCCCTGTGCTAACAATATTCTTCACGACTCGCATTACAATGGCGGCTGCTCTGGCATCAAGACCAGAAGTAGGTTCGTCCATGAATATGATCGACGGGTTAGCAACAAGCTCCACTGCTATAGTCAGCCGTTTACGCTGCTCAGTTGATATACCGGTTACACCAGGAGCACCAACTATAGCATCTTTTATGTCATCTAGCTCAATCATTTCAAGTACTGCAGCCACAAATTCCTGATTGACAACATAGAATTCAGTTGCGATGCAGATTTAGCTACTAATTAATGCAAAATCTCATTACTCGATCTGTGACGCGAGAGACCATATACAATTTTTGTCTTCTTGCTGGTTTGATCAACACGAGAATATCTAGTGCACACAAGTTCTTCGTCCTCACTAGACATCTGTTAATTATAGATACATACACATGATATGCTAAAATCTGTCCATTTGAGGACAAGATTTAGCAGTTGATTGGCACATATATGGACAAGACTGTCAACAAGATTTATCCAGCAATTAATAAAAAAGATTGAAATTCGTGTCTCAATACGCGATGTACAAAAAACTTCCTGGTTCTATCCACTTTTTGAAAGCTCTGATGCTCAATCTGTTTGTTCCAAGTTTGATTCCTGCTCATATATCAAGGAATAGGGTATCAAAATGATTGGCATATTCAATCCAGATGAAGAAATCTTACGGCTCTCGTATTTGTGTCAATGTGGGCTGGCAACCTTAACCAAGCTGAGTATGCCACTGATTCCTCAATTGTAACTTGTGGAGAATGTATGTCGGTTTGCTCACAGTAGCCAGATATTCTGGCATACGCAGCTTGAACTTTAGGATACCCTCCAACCTTTATGTCTCCTTCGATAAAACCGCCAGTCTTTCTTCCTGAAAGAACATCCATTAATGTTGTTTTCCCTGCGCCACTGACGCCCATCAAAGCCGTTAGGACTCCGGGTCTGAGTGCTCCGGTAATATCTCGAAGAAGTTGTAGTCTTCTCTCTGGGAAACCTTGCTCTCTCATTTTCTGGGAAACATTGGAGGGTCTGTTATGCCAATCATTAATTGATATGATAGGCACAACAATACAAGTTCAGCCACTGAAATGCCTCACCTTGGGTGTTTCGACGAAGTACCGAACGTTTTCGAATGTTAGAGTTGTGGGTTCAAATGGTAAAACCATCCCTATACAATTTTAAAATTGCAATTGTCACTGGTAACAAAGGCAATATAACCTTATCCAACCATTCATTTGCAGTTTTGCAGATTTTAAATAGATGATAGTTAACTAACTGCTTATGAATCTTCTTACCCCTAACTTTTGTTATTGCAGTATCGTTGTTAGCCACCTGTTCTCTTAGAGTAGGACGGTTAATGTCTCTGTCTTTACCCAGCTGGGAGAGCTTCTTACTAGAGACAACAGCTTGAGATCTACTCGGAGCTGCGATTAGCCAATAAATGCATGTTTTTTAGTGAAAAATGTCAACCTGCTGAGAATATTCTTAGGTTGAATTTTCAATTACCTTTAGAAAAACTCAGAGCACAGGTGAACCCAATGTTGAAGACCAGCCAGAATCCAATCAATGACCCAACTGATATCCAGTAAAAGTTGTCACTAAAATCTAGACCACGCTGTTTGAGCACTTGTTGCCCCAGAGTGCCATTAAGAGATGAAACCTACGAAGGATAATTAAGCCTGTTAAATACTAAACACTACCATCTTCATGTGAAATCCATTCATGTGAGACTGGTTTGTTCTTCAAGATGTCACCTTTTGCCACCTCGGAGCGAGAAACTCATTAACTGAAGCACCTATTTCTGCATATGACAATGGAGATAACCAGAAACCCCACTTCAACCAACCAGGTAGAGAAGCTGCAGAGAGACACGGTCGCTAAGTTCCTGTCACTTTCCTAAATTCACTACCATTAGAACTGGTAAAACTGAACTTACGTTTTGGGATGACAAAGCCACCGAATAAAAACAAAACAAGTAAGGAGAATAGACCGGAAATTGCTGCAACCGGGGGGTTTTGAACCATGGAAGCTATCAATCGGAACATTGATATTGATACTTGATGCACTAGGAAGAGCAGGATCAATTGCTTAAAGAACCTGACAGTCATCGAATAAGTTGGAAGTGAGAATGGCTAAAATTCAGATCAGCTCTCTGATATAGTGAATGTCAGAATTACCTTTGTGGCTCAGGACTATAACCAACTCCATAATAGGTAATAGCTGTCCACAGAAACGCATCAAGTAAAGAGAATGGAATTTTCAATACGGCTGCTGGAATGGTATAAGCCCATGCAGGGTAGAAGAAAAAATCTCGTTGCTTGTAGAAGACTCTAAGTCTGGAAACCGTCATTGCCAGCTCCTGAATGCCAATAACCATGAGTCGGATGAGAGCGTAATATAGGGAGCCCATGAACAGATCCGCATGCACCAAATCGAGTTCCATTCGTGTGCGCAAGAAGACGGTCACTGTTATAACTGCAATGACCACAAGCTGCAAAGAGAAACCACCAACTCGATGAATTCCGCGTACATTTCTCATTAAATTATGTGTTGTGACTGCACATTTTGAGTCCCAACGGGCAATTACCTGCGCTGATTTGAAGACATGAACAAACCAGTTGCACTTCATGAGGAGCCATTCTCTCGAAAGGCACGCTTTGAACAACTCCCACTTTTTTAACGAGTAAATTTCGAAAGATAAGGCACTTCTGTGAAGCTCAGTTTTCACGAAAGGCCTGGCAAGATCCTCGTCTAGGTTCTTTCCCATTGGAAATTCTTTAAACATCCTTGCAAACGTGCTTGGAGATATGAAATTATAAGTCCGGTCTTTGTGATGCCAGTATGGTGCCTGGTCCTTTTTGGAAACTACCTGCCAAGAATTCCCAAAATCAAAATATGTCAGCGCTAACCTTGCACAGTTCGGACATCCCATTTTTAAGCGAGAGTGCATACTTCTTGGAGAAAGTCAGCAATGCCTTTTCTCGTCGGACACTTGAAACCACAGTGTTCAAAGAACTTGAGAACATCAGTCCGAGGTCCATGGTACACGATATGTCCCTCTGCCATTAGAATTATGTCATCAAAGAGATCAAAAGTCTCGGGTGCTGGCTGAAGAAGCGACACCAAAATAGTGGACTCTGTTATGTGTGCCAATTGCTGCAAGCATGTAATGATCTGAAAGGTAGTAGAGCTGTCCAAACCCGTTGATATCTCGTCCATAAATAAAACTCTCGCCGGACCAATTATCATTTCCCCTGGAAGAGAGAGCACTGTGAAAGATCTGTAATGAAGCCTAAAACTTTCAATGTGACATTGAAACTGTTCGTATAAATTTCTCATCATTCGCTGTAAGTTCACGTAATACTAACCAGTTGTCAACCTTCTCTTTTGACCGCCAGAAATTCCTCTGTTCATCGCATCCCCTACAACTATATCTGCGCAGATGTCGAGTCCAAGAACCTGAAAAGGCGAAAAATGACAGCAACAGTGCAAAAAGAATATGCGTGGAAAATATACTTCTCAATTTGTTTTCTCATTGGAAAACTTACCTTCAATATGTAGTCTGTTTGGAGTGTCCTTTTCAGTCCTCCTATTGATATTGCCTGTTCATATCGAATAAAGTCATCAGAAACCAGTATTTGCCAATTGCTTCTATAACTGGAAAATTGAAAAATAAAAAAAAGATTAATCCAACTTTGTGCAAACATTAACCTTCATGTATGTGTCTATGCTTGGCTCTGGATTAATTCCTGCTTGCTTCTCCCTTTTACTAACTTCTTTCAATATGTCTTCAACCAAAAGCAACATAAATAGGATCAGAAATGATCACTGGAACAAACAATAACTTCCAGGCCGGAGAATAAACTGGTACCTGCCCTTCCTCCGATGCCCTGACAACGCGCAGAGAAGTCCAGCGTCTCCCTCACGGTCATCTCGGAAATATGCAAATCATATTGGCTTATATAGGCTGAAGTCTTCTGAGGAACAAACTCATTCAGCTTGTGACCATTGTAGGAAATCTCTCCCTTAACCTTGATCCATACATCATTTATCAATTCCACCAATCTTACATATATGCATAATCATTTGCGTCTGAATATAGTTTGAGTATAGTAGCTATTCTTGTCAGCATGGAACATCTCCAATAGACTGAATACCGAAAAGGTTATACCTCGAGCGATTTCTCTGATTCGCCTGCTAATGCTTGTAATAAGGTGGTCTTTCCGCATCCCGGTGGACCTAGCAATAGTGTCATCCTGCGACAACTCCTCGAGATGTAGATTATGCTGTATTGCAGCATCATAGAAATCAACTTGTGAATCTAAAAGAGTGCGTATGCTAAGCTTTAATACTAACCTCGCAGGTTTAAGGATGCCGCTAATGTTCTTGAGAATTCTCATCTTGTTCCCCTGATACCTGCAGCCAACCTTATTTGTTGGAGCCTGCTTCACAGAGAAAAATGGATCATGGTTCTGGTGTTTATGTCCTATGATTTTTACCAGGATGGATTACAATAGCTTGATAGGATAGAGAAGCAGTTGCATGAGCTAATAAGTTTGCTACCAAATAAGCCAATAAAAGATAACAAAATCGAGTCAAAAGGAGTTGTATTAATTCCCCTTAAGACTCCTTAGATTGTAAAGCAGGTGCAACTGGATTTTCCATAGGTTTCATTAGGAATTTATCTTGCGAAAATAGGTAATTAGTTTCTATATAAAGGCATAGTGCAACACGTATGTCGCACCCCATCCATTCACAGTAAGTGAAAGATTTGAAATTAGATGTTTTTAATGCATGTCCCATTAAGAGATAGATATTCCAAAACTGCCAATTTTCTAATCGTAAGATCGATTTGCATAATGTGGCTCATATGATGTTTTTTCCTCATGTCTCAAAAGTGATTCTTTGATATTCCAACCTTCAAAAAAAAAGTTCCAAAAGCAGTAGGGCAAGTTATCAGTGCATAGTTTCTACAAAAATAAAATAGTTTGTTGTTACTTTAATTATATCATTATTGACCAATCTTTGGAAAGGGTTAATTCTACGAAAAATCCATAACTGCTACATATTTGATAAATTTAACTAAAATTATTTTTTTAATCATAAAAAATCTCAAATTGGCACATGACAAACTTACCGTAAACTAGGATGTCAATGATTCGGTTCGGTTTGGATTTTTAGGAAAACCGAACCGAACAGTTTGAATGTGTGCTTTCGAACATTCGGTTCAGTTCGAATTTTTAGGAAAACCGAACCGAACCGAACCGAACAGTTCGGTCTTTCGAACTGAATCGCGTTTTCGGTTCGGCTCATATCCGGTTCGTGTGGCCTTTTGGTTCGGAGCAAGCACACCCCTACCCTCCCCTTCCCGACCCAGCCCGGTGACATGGCCACGTCGTCCCCGAGCTCGCCATCGCCCTCCGCCACAGCCGCGAGCTTCCCCGAGTACAAGGAGGCGGCGGTGGCCAAGAAGTCCGATGCGGCTTGCCGCCGCTCCTCCTCTTCTTCTTCTTCATCGTAGCTCTGGCTCTCTGCAAGAAGCTCCTGCACTTCCTCTTGCCGTACTCGCTCAACCACTCGTTGAAGCTCCCGAACAAACCAACCACCCTTCTTCTTCAAGTTAAAGGGTTTGAGGAGACAGATTGCAGAGATGTGGGGGGGGGGGGGGAAGAAACAGGAGGGATTAAAAGATCGAAGCCAAGAAGCTTGCTGCGGCAGAAGAAGAGGGCAAAACAGTGCCTTTTGCTCTTTTTCTCTCCTTGTGATGCTGTGCAGAGGGAGAGAGAGATGGTCTGTGGCATCGCTATCAGAAGGAGACGCAGGGAGAGAAAAGTGAGTGGGAAGAGAGAGAAAAGGGGGAGAGAGTTGCGGTTCAGAATTCTGAACAGTGAGAGTGAGGAGAGAGGGTGTACGTGAAGGGAAGAAAATAAAAAAGAAATCGAAATTTGATCCGATCCTATTCGAAATCCGAACCAAATCGAATAATCAACTAACCGATTTTTTTTACTTATTATCCTAACTGAAATTCGAACCGAATTGAAAATACATGAATTTTCGGATCAGTTTCGGTTTCAGTTCGATTTTCGGTTTGGTTTTTGACACTCCTATCGTAAACTAATTTTTTGACCATCAAGAACCCTAAACTGATATATTTATGACAAATTTACCCTCCGTTAAATTGGATTAATATCACCAAAATCATAAATGGGTACACTTGTGATAAACAGGGTAAAACCTCAAACTTGTACATCCATTAAATGTCACGTGTTATCTAATTCGGAAATTTGACGATTAATTTAATGGAAACTAGCGGAGGATAAAATTATCACAGATGTACTGGTTTAGAGTTTTTGGTGATCAAAAAATTAGTTTAGAGTAAATTTATCACAAGTGTACTAATTTATGGTTTTTCGTGGTGTTAATCCTCTTAGGAAATGTTTAAGCTGGAATGAGAGATAATGAGACAGAGAAGAAAATCTCACATAGAAGACGGACTTGAGTGTGTTCCAAAGAGTAGGTATGTGTTCCCCATCAACGGCTTCGCTATCAGCTTCTATGCACAAACCCTCATATCTCACTTCCACGGTCGGTAATTCAAGACCCGCCCTGCAAAATTAATATCACATTAGCTGCACTTTGTCACAGGAAATAATTGAACATGCAAGAAGTAAAAAAGGTTAATATCACGAAAAACCCTAAATCGGTACACTTGTGATAAATTTATTCCGAACTAACTTTTTGACTCACGAAAAACCTCAAACTGGTTCACCGGTGATAAAGTTACCCCAAACTAATTTTTTGACCACCAAAAATCCCAAACTAATACACTTGTGACAAATTTACCCTCCGTTAAATTAGTTTAATACCACAAAAAATCATGAATTTGTAAACCAGTGACAAATGGAGGAGCAAAACCCTAAACCGGTACACCTGTTAACTGTCACGTGTCATTCAACTCAGAAATTTGACGGTAAATTTTAACGGAAATCAATTGACGGTAAATTTATCACATGTGTACAGGTTTTTTATTTTTTGTGATAAAAAAATCAATTTAGGATGAATTTATTATAAGTGTATTAGTTCGGGGTTTTTTGTGGTATTATAAAAAATTTCTGCCCTTTTTAGAGCTGTAGTATCAATACGAGCATAAAGTAATTAGTTTATTGTGGTTTGACGTCTGAGGTAGACGACAGATTGTGTTTAGCACGGAATTCTTCGGACTGTTCCATTGTCTGTCGTGTTGGACTATCAACGTAAGCATACTCATTTTGTTCCGAAAAGGTCGTGTTACAAAAGCAGTTGGCTTCGCTCACCTCTGCACTCGCTGACGGAGCTTTTGGAGGAGACGGAGATTGTCCTCTTCGATCGTCTTCAAAAGGCCGTCCATGAACACCCGCCTCTCCGAGTCCCCGAGCTTCGCCACGTCCACCACCCCGCCGTCGAGCACCGCTGCCCTCAGCCGCCGGAATGTCGGCAACCTCTCGATTGCTGCCCACTGCAGCTCCAGGTCGCCATCCTCCCGCTGGCGATCCTCGCCGAACGTCGATGGCGTCTGGTCCTCTGAATCAGCAACACTGCTGAAGCTGCTCGAGGCGCAGTGGCGCAGCGACGAAGAGAAGCGCTGGCTTTGTATCCGCTCGGTCTCGGAGAGCTCGATCCTCATGGACGAGGCTGGCTCGTTACGACTGCACCATTTCTATTATTTTGATCTTTCAGCCAATTGCAGGCGAATGTTTTCTTATATAATGTGATCATAAGATCCGCACGTCTACATCATTAGAGATATGGGAATAAGTTTTGCAACCCTCAGATCTCAAAGTCAAAGATCTCGGTGCATATTATGAGGGGAACAACATTAGAAGTGCTAAAATTTATGTACAGCGCTTATTTTAGTGTAAAAAGTTTTTTTTCGGATCACTAACTTTAAAAAAAAAAAGATTACTTAAGTGCCAACTCCGATTTGAGTCGCCGAAAATTCGACGTAGTCATATTTTATTAATTTCTCAGTCCTACATGGCACATCGGTGCTGATGGGGATAATTTTTTTATAATATTTTAATATTTTTTCAATTTTTTAAATATTTTTTCTGATTTTTTTCTTTTTTTCTTCTTCTTCTACCTTTGGCCGGTGGCCGGTTCTTCTACCTTTGGCCAGTGACCGGACACCGGCCACCGGCCATGGCCGGCCGCCTGGCTTCGCCCGGATGAGGCTGCCGTCGCCCGCCACAGGCGAGGCCCGGCCGAGGGGGCCGGCCTCGCCGGATATGGCAAGGCGAGGCTGACCCTCACCGGGGCTCGCCTACCCTCGCCAAGGCGAGGGTCGGCCGGGCCTTGCCTATGGCGGGCGACAGCGGCCTCGTTCGGGCGAGGGTAGGCGGCTAGCCATGGCCGGTGTCTGGTCACCGACCAAAGGTAGAAGAAGAAGAAAGAAAAGAAAAAAAGAAAAGAAGGAAGAAAAGAAAAAAAAATCAAAAAATATATTTAAAAAATCGAATTATACACATGAAAATGCCACATAGACTGATTTTTTTTTAAAAAAATCCAACTCAGATTAAAATTTTAATTAAAAATGCCACGTATTAATTTGGCCGAAATTTCTCGCCATTAGCACTTAAGTGATCGTTTTTCCTCCGATTTAGCACTTAAGTGAGCCGGCGAAAACTTTTGGCACTAAAGTGAGCGCCGTATATAAGTTTTGGCACTTCTAGTATTCTTCCCCCCATATTATGAATATGAATTTGGTGCATGCTTAACACATGCTCGAGGTCTAGTTCATATTATGTACAAGTTTGATGTTTGTGATTCGATTTTGTAATATTAAAAACCACTCTTGCCTCTATTGAGGAAAACGTTAAAAATGAATCACCATTCATAACTATGTTTGCGCTAATTCGATAAGAGTCGCGGCAATGAGTCATTTACTTGTCCTTGTTTGCAAATAATCGGCTTCATTAATTAAATCATGTCATAAAAATGAATCATGAAGTGTGGCTTCAGATCTTACCACAACACAATTCCTTTTGCTTGATTTGATTTCACAATTAAGGGCCTAATTCCAAAAAAAACCCCAAACTTTACACTTTGTCCCAATTATACCCTGAACTTTTTTTTGTCTCAAGAAAAACCTCAAACTTTTCTCCGAGTCCCAAATCTACCCCACCGTTATAACTCCATCCAATTAACGTCAGAAAAAAAAAAAAAAAAAAAACAGAACCAGCGAATGCGGCAGCCAAGCCTTCGCGGTGGCCGCCGCCACAACCGCCGGGAAGGAGCGGCGGCCCTCGCCTGGGCCTTCCCGAAGGCCCGGGCGAGGTCTGCGCACCCGATCTGGGGAGGGCGCGACCCTCGCCCCAGGATCGGGGCCGTGAACCCTCGCCGGCGACTCGCCCGGGGCCGGCGAGGTCGCCGCCTTCGGGAAGGCCCAGGGCGAGGGCCACCGACCCCAGGCGCAGCCTCGCCTGGGCCTTCCCGAAGGTCCGGCGACCCTCGCCGCCCCAGGCGAGTCGCCGGCGAGGGTCTGCAGCCCCGATCTGGGGAGGCGCGACCCTCGCCCCGGATCGGGGCCGCACCCTCGCCGGCGACTCGCCCGGGCCGGCGAGGGTCGCCGGCCTTCGGGAAGGCCCAGGCGAGGGCCGCCGCTCCTTCCCGGCGGCTGTGGCGGCGGCCACCGGCGAAGGCTTGGCCACGCCGCAGCTGCTGGTTCTGTTTTTTTTTTTTTTTCTGACGTTAATTGGACGGAGTTATAACGGTAGGGTAGATTTGGGACTCGGAGAAAAGTTTGAGGTTTTTCTTGAGACAAAAAAAAGTTCAGGGTATAATTGGGACAAAGTATAAAGTTTGGGGTTTTTTTTGGAATTAGGCCCACAATTAAGATGTTAACCCTTCCACATTTGAGGTGTGTAATATCAGAAGCTTTCACAACTA